ATCGGGAATGTCGGGGAGCATGTCACCCCATAGCTCTTTGTTATCTTCACCACTTTCTGGAACCAATAGTCCGTTAGAACCCTATCGGAATAACGTATCCAATTCATTATCCCATTAGAGTTTCTGACTACGTTTCAGGGGGCTAAGTGTAATTATCGATACCACAGGGACCTTACAGTTATTTAAGCATACCTCAGGGGGGTGTGTGTAATTTACCCTTTTATATATTGCTCGATGTAAGCCCGATACAAAACCGAAAACTGAAAAAAGTATATGAACCGAGTTTGAGCCTATTGTAATGAGGCATAATGATGTGTCAGTTTGAGCATATGCTAATAAAGCCCGATGATATGTAAGCTTGAATCAATCCAAGTTCGACTCACATGACCTGATTTATCTCGACTGCTGATTGTAATCAACTAATCGTAGTAATATCCGATTTTAAAAGTAAATAAAAAAAAATCAAATAAATTCCGTTATGAGCGAGAGAGACTAGACATTTGTGATATCTTTGCTTTGGCTGCTATAGCAAAATTAACACTCATTGTTTCTGACTTTTTTTTTTTTTTTGTTTTACTGTTTTTATTTTTAAATATTATTTTTAAGTCCTGATTCTTAATTCACGTGTATTTTTTGGGCTCTACGTTAAAAAGTAAAAAAAAAAAAAGGGGAAAATAACTTTTAAAAAGTATTTAATAAAGTGGAGTGAAAAGAAGTATAATAATTTCTTTTCTTACACAATACAGTTTTGTAAGTTTGTTGATGTCACTTTCTTGGAGTTTAAGAGGGTGTTGGTAGGAAATAGGGACTCAATCATTTCGTATTTCTTCATCAATATAATATAATTCCCTAATTCAAAATCAATTACATAGGTCAATTTGGATTTAATTTTTGTTTTTTAATTTATTCGTGATTAATTAATACATTGAAGAGAAAGCTCAAACCTAAAGAATCTTAGGTTATGTTTTTGCATTAGGCGTTGAATGCGGAATCTATTTCTGAATGACTAAAAGAGGTGTCTGAATCTGAATGATGAACAATTAAGTACGTTTGATAACCGAATATAAATAATGTCAGAATATGTTTCTATTACAATGTTATGAATTGTTGAACTAATACGTTATTCCCTCCATTCCATTTTAATTGTCTTTTTGGGCTAATTCACACATTTTAAGAAAATTAATAAATGTGCTTGAATTGATGAATTCTAGAAAAATCATAATAAATGACTAAAAAACCACTTTTATTAAATGTTTAACCATTAATTCTCTTAATAATAATAAGGGCATAGTTGAAAAAACACAATAAATATTTTATTGGAATCCTAAAGTGATAATTATTTTGAAATGAAAAAAAAAATCTCTAGAAAAATGGAGTGAAGGAAGTATAATTAGTTGAGTTGTGAAAAAAAACATTTTTTAAATGGTCCATTTAATTAGTAAAAAAATAAAAGTAAATAAATATTGTATTTGAGACATGGTGCAATGAATATTTTAATGATAAAATGGTCAAATTCCATTCAATATGCCACTTACTGAATTAACACACAATTATGGGATGAATGGTCAAAATATTGATAAATTAATTTAGATGTAGTCACCAAACGCAATTAATGATTAATGTGTTTATTCAATCAACAATATGGCCATTAAGAAGTTCATTAAGAATCATTAAACACAACCTTAGTAAAAAAAAAAAAAAAAAAGTGCATGAGAAGAAACTTAATATTTCTTGTGCCATATTAATTTTCTATTAAAAATATGTGAATTCACTCCTAAGAAGGTGTGATTTATTTTTAAATTAATTTTTTATTACCCATACTTTAAAACAGTTGAGCGTCGGAGTACAATTGTCTGACCATCATTGTTTTTAAATTGAATGAAGTCTTCATCCAATTTTGTTCAAAATACACATTTTTTTGAGTACAAATTATTATAATAATAATTTCATAGTTTGAGAATTGTATTTTTCTTAATCATTGATCACAACTTACAAATAAACATAAACTAATTTTATTAGATAACAATTTTTAATTGTGTAATTCATGCTAGTAAAATTCTTGGATTTCTTATATGTTAAACCCAATAAATAATCTTTTATATTCCATTAGGTAAAAAGACACGAGTCTCAACTTTAACTCAATCCCGTAATAATAATTATCTACTTGTCCTCAGGGATGACCAATGTAGCAAGTGAACTTATATCAATTGACTCAGGTTCGTCCCTTATCAACGGTAGCTAGATTGAGGGTCGTTATGTCGAGCTACACTAGCCTAGCGTAGTGTGCAGGGGCGTGTCACCATTAGGTAAGGGTGGACTCAAGCCCACCCTCAACTTACAATTTCCATCCTATATTATATTATACTATATATCTATTTAACCTACCTAAATTTTATTAATTAGCTCAGCTAAATTTCAACTAATGCAAAAGAAGCCCTATTTTTTATTAATTAGCCCACTTAGACCAACTCCAATGCTAAATATCAAAATTGGATTATCAAATACTCATTTGATACTTCAGATAATATTTTAATATCCATTTATAGTTTATCCTCCAACCATAGTTATTAAAATTAATAATCAATCGGAAGGTTTTTAGTGGTTTTATTTGTAATTGCCACGTGTCATTTTGTGATTGGATGTTTATGTGGTTATTTTTTTGATAACTCAATTTCCAGGATGTATTTTTACATACAAAGAGGTAGTATCAAGATACTTACCCATTGGAGTAGAAATTTTTAATTTTGAGATATCAAAAAGGTGGTTTATGGGTTCGATAATCAATTTGATACTTCCATTGGAGTTGCTCTCAAAATGCAAATTAATATAAAAAAGTCCCAAATTTTATTAATTATCCCACCCAAACCTCAAATTAAGCCAAAAACACTCTAAAATTTGTTTTTTTTTCTTTTCTTTTCCTATTTTCCAATTTTATCAAAAAAAATTCTAAAAAAATTTCGAGGGCGCTAACCCTATACCCCAAAAATTTAAATCTACCGTATACTAAATTTCTGAACTCGACACTGTAGTGTGGGTTACGTTTCTCGTCCGACAATTAAATTAAATCTCAAACACCATTTTGAGAAACTTGGGCAATGTTTGGAAGCGTTTTGGAACTTATTTTGATTTCATTTTGAGGAAATATGTTGTGGGGGAATAATTTGAGAATGAAAATAATGTTTGTTTATATTTTGGAAGGAGACAAAATACACTGTAGCAGTCACATCATGTTTAAAAGTGTTAGAAAAATGTATTTTAGAAGAAAAAAATTAAAAGATGAAGTGATATTTATTTATATTTTAGTGAAGACATTTTATACTATAGCAGTCACATCTAGGGGTGAAAGTCGGATGGATCGGATCGGAATTAGCCTTTTCGGAAAATTTCCAAAAAAAATCGGAAGTACAAAATCAATTCCAATTCCAATTCCAAAAATTTCGGAATCTAAAAATTCATTCCAATTCCAAAAGGCCCGGAAATTTCGGAATTTCGGAAAAAAATCGGAAATCACATAAGCTTTAAAATTTCAAAACCTAGCCGAAATTTTCTAAAATGTTCATAATTTTTCGAAAATAAGAACATCCACGCCCATAAAAGTAAACTAATAACTACTAAATTTCAGTTTTAAAAAATAAATAAAAATAAACTCCAATAAAACTTCTAACAACAATTCATTATGTCAAAATCCTAAAACAAGACTTATAGGTGTATTTTTTAGAAAATAAGTATTATCTAATATATTCTATTTATAAGTGTATTTTTCGGGAAAAATCGGAATTTTTCGGAATTAATTTCGGAATTAAATCGGATCGAAAATCGGAAATTCCAAATTTATTTTATATAATTCCAATTCCAATCTAAAAAAATCGGAAAATTTCGGAAATCGGAATTTTGGAAGTCGGAATGAAAAAAGTTGTTCCAAAATCGGAACTTTTCGGATCGGAACCGGCGGAAATTGGAAAATCCGTTCAAACTTGCACCCCTAGTCACATCATTTTACTGTAGCAGTCACATCATATCTGAAGGACAGATAAACTTTTGATATTATTTTAAGAAAATTATTTTAAAAGTATAATAAATATAATTTTGTTTTGGGGAATAACGAAAACAAAATAGAATCATTACCACACATTGCCTTAGAAAACAAATGCACGAACTTGATTGGATGAATTGTTTAAATTATTAACAATAATAATAGCCCTTTACTCAAAAAAAACAATAATAATAGCCCTAACCGCCACTTAAATCTAACATATATAATCATTAAGAAATGTGGAACCCTGAAAATGGTGGTTGAACTTTGAACCGCAGGTCAAGAAGAGTATATAACTAGAAAAATTTCTTGGTCGATTCTTGAATAGTTACAAAAAGATTCGCCCTTTCCATATTTGTTGAAGATGGGTGTTCTTCTTCTCTGTTTAAATCCCTTTTTTATTTCTATCTGATTACAGGTGTAAGAAAAAGTTTCCCCCTTTTTTACATTTACGCCACTACACAAGTAAAAAGAAATTGTAGTTCGATTTAGGGCGTGTGATTGATTCTTCGACCATTTTTTTTTTAACTGTGTGGTCACACAGAATTAGACTGTAAATTGTTAGGTATTTTTTTTTTTTCTTTTCTTGTGGGCCTTTTGCTGTCAAAACTGGTGGTTAGCAAAATAAGGGTTTTTGTTTTTCTTTTTGCTATTGGGGATTTTTTTTCTTGGGATGATTGATTGATGAGAGAGAAAGAAGAGAGAGAGAGATGGCGACTTTGATTAGTGTTATTATCCATTATAGACTTCTGGGCTTTTCTCTCTTTGCTTGAAACCATGGTGGTCTTTTTCACACTTCAAATTCTCTCACTTGCTTGAATTAATTACTGTCTGTACCAATTGAATTTCTCTCTTTCGTTTCGTTGTTGTTCATCCAATAGGGTTCAGCATTTCACAAGAATTCGACTTTTTTCTCTTCTTGAATTATAACTTTAGTATTCATTTCCCCTTTGCTTTCTTGATTTTCGCCTTTTCGATTTCGTGGAATAAAAAATCCCAGATCCCATAATTCTGGATTCTAAACAATGCCTCTGTGAATTACTTGAGTTGGGTTTTTTTCCGATTTTGAGTATAAGACCGAAAATCAGATGCCGGTGGAAGATGAATCGAGTAGCTCCGAGTGGAGTAGGGAGCAAGACAAGCAATTCGAGAAAGCGATAGTAACGTACCCCGAGGATACTTCCGATAGATGGGAGAAAATCGCGGCGCAGGTCGCTGGAAAATCTGCCGAGGATGTTAAGCACCACTACGAACTCTTGGTCGATGATGTGAACCGAATAGAATCCGGTTTTATAGAGGTGCCGTGTTACAATTCGTCTTCGGATGGTTCGAATAGTCACGCCGGCGACGAAGTAACCGGTAAAAAAGGCAGCAATTTCGGACACTCGAACGGCGAATCGAATCATGGAGGCAAATCTTCCAGGTCGGATCAGGAGCGGCGAAAGGGGATTGCTTGGACAGAGGATGAACACAGGTAATAATAATAATCATTCTTGTCTTTTTAATCTCGTATTTTATGTCCTGATTTTATTATATATTACAGACATGGTAATCTCGATTACGGTGGTCCCAATACGTTAATTAACACATATAATAATGTACTGCTTTTTTCTTTTTGGTTTGTATAATATTCTTTTTTTCCAAATTGCTTTATTTTCTCTGTGGATGGAGTCGGGTTTTCCGCTGGTAACTGTATTAAGATTCGACCGAGGATTTGGTATCGATGTGTCTGTGTGCATAAAAATGTCATCGTAAGTTGGATTGATAACTTTTTTATTGCTGTTTTCAGTATTTGTCCTCAATGATTGGTCTGAAATTATTAGTTTGAAAATTAGGTGTAAATTAAATTCAATTGGATTTGAGGACTCTTTCATTGATGATACCTAGTTTTTTTCTCACAAATGTTTCGTGTTTTTTCGTCCGGTAAAAGTTATTACGATTAAGATCTAATTATCGTAAGAGACTGGAGTGAATTCAGGTAATAAATCATTCTTGTACTTGGTTGGTACTATGATTTAATCTCGTATTATGTCCTAATAAATTCGTATTTTTTCTAATTGCTTTATTTTTGTCTTGGAGTTGCTCGTTTGATACTGCTCGAGAATAATGGTCCACTGAATTATATACTCGAGTATTTTTCTAGCACGTCTTTCCTCTTCTGAAGGAACAAATTGCGTAGGTAGATTCGGTTATATTTGTTGAGTCTGCTTTAATCGACAAAGTAGGCTTTTTTTTTTGGTGGCAAGTGTGTTGAAGATTCGACCGATGATTCGTTCTTGATACGTGTGTGCATAAAATATCCTCGTATAATCTCGATTTGGATTAGTAACTTTTTATTGCTGTTTTCGGTATTTGTCCTCAACGATTGGTCTGAAATTATTCAATTTGGAAATTAGGTGTAAATTAGTGAAAATTAGGTGTAAATTAGTGAAGATTGGTTGACTGGCTTGAGTCGTATCTTCTTGTTTCTGTGTGTATATGTGCATAGCAATATCTAGTGGACCGCAGATTGGTAATAGCTTGACATGTTGTTGAGATTTCGTGCTACGAGTAATTTCATAGACGAACGACTACATGTGCATGAAGTAAGTGATAAAAAAAACGATTACGAAATTATGTACAAAGGATTATAATATCTTGTAGAGATAATTGATTGTCGAGCGCTATCTTAATCAAGTATGTGGTAGGCTTGTCTATTTTATCGAAATAATTTTGTTATTTTCAAGAGAGTCGGTGCCTACTGTTCATCATGTAATATGCGATTATCTTATGTTTCGGGTTCATAATTGTACAATTTTTTTCTTGTATCTAATTATCTTTCATATGCTGATTAAGTTCCAAACCCTAAACATTTGACGTATCTTGATTATATTATGTAAACAAGGCCGACATCGATTCTTGTCGCATCTTACTTACTACGTGTTTTTTTTTTTAAAGGTTGTTTCTTCTGGGTTTGGACAAATACGGAAAAGGCGATTGGAGAAGCATTTCCCGTAATTTTGTGGTGACGAGGACTCCGACGCAAGTGGCGAGCCACGCGCAAAAGTACTTCATCCGTTTGAACTCAATGAACAAAGACAGAAGAAGATCGAGCATCCACGACATTACTAGTGTCACGGGCGGTGAGATTTCGGTTCCTCAAGGACCAATCACAGGCCAGACAACGACAACACCGCCACCACAAAACGGTTCTTCGTCTTCTGCCGCCGCAATTGGAGGTTCGTCTATCAAATCCAACAAACAGCCAGTTGCAGTTGCAGTGGGCCCACACACACACCAAGGAGTCAGCATCTACGGCCCGCCGAGTATCGGTCAACCGATAGGTGGGCCCCTCGTTTCGGCTGTGGGTACGCCGGTTTACGGTGCGCCTGTCCACGGAGGAGTGGTCCCCGGTGCACCGATGAATATGGCGCCTATGGCGTACCCTATGCCGCATACTTCCGCGCATAGGTGATTTTGGTGTCGTTTAAATTTCAGTTCACATTTATTTCCTATCGAATTTTCGAAATAAGGTGTAGTTTTAAAAGAAAGAACTGCGTATGTATAGGTAATTTGTGGCGATGTAGCGGTTATTTTTAGGATCTTGAGATTATATTCTGGTTTTTGTTGGGGTTTATAGGCATTTTTTTTAAATTATGGTGCAAATTGTAAAGTACCTTTGATGCTCTAAATTAAGCCTCAGTTTTTTAGCTAATAAATGTTGTGATGAAAGAGTTGACTTTACGTTGAATAGAGTTGACTTGTGCAATTCTAAATTTGTAATAGTATTCCCCAGCAATTTGCTAAGTTGAATGTTAGTTGGAACTACATTAACTATATAACTGTCGCATACCAAGTAATTATAAAATTACCATTCATCAAGTTATTATAGAAATGCGACTTATTATTGTTATTATAGAACTGTCATTCAACAAGTAATTATAGAACTACCACTCAACAAAATTTTTATAGAATTCACATTCAATAGTAATTTGCGAAGTATCACTCACCGAGTAGTTATAGAACATTCAGTCACCAAGTGATAACATAATTGTCACTCATCAAATACTTAATAAAGTGCCATTGATCAGTAATTACAAAATTGTCACTCAACAATATTCATAGAAATGTCATTCATAAGTAATTAAAGAATTGCCACACAACTAGTAAATACTGAACTGCCGCTCAATAGTAATTACAAGATTACCACTCATCAGTAATTACAAAATTAGTAAAGGTGACGATGATACGTTTGGATCAATGTGAATTGGATGAAAGAACTTAATCCAAAATCAACCTATATGAATAGATCTAAAGTAGATCGGACTTGCACCAATCCGGACCGATCCACACGGATGCATTGCATCTTTAACTCAACTTATGTGGTTTAATATCTTAACTTATAATGTTGAATTTCTCAATTAATAAGGTTGAATATCTTCACTTACATGGTTTAAGATCTCAATTTATGTGGTTTAAATTTCATTATACTCAACTTTCTCACTTATACATATTCATCCTCACACACTTCAACACACTTTTTACACACACACCTTTGACACACACGTAAACACTCGCACAAACTTTTGACATACACATTTACACACACGAACACACCCCGACACCATTTTCAACATACGCAAATGCAGAACCCAACACACTTTTCTCACACACAGTCTAGCACACTTCATTTTTTGTTAGACTTCCAATAGATACAAAAGTGGATTCAATTTTTAAAAGTTATCAACTTGGTTCGGTCCAGTTTATTTCTAACTAGATTTAATGCAAACACGATCCATGTGGATCGAAGCGAATCTGATCGGATTCAAGTTGATGGTCGTATGAAAAACTAGAATTGCATTTAAATTTAATTTCATTTTATCCTATTCAGGTTCATGAAACTAAATTAATCTTCTAAAGTAGTAAAAATAGGTATTTTTCAACCTTAGGGTGCAAATCGCCTTTTTAATTTTAATTTGAGGGTGCAAGATGCCCTTGTTTAATATTTGGGGTACACTCTGCCAAATTAGCCATACATTGGGGGTGCATAATGCAATTTAGCCCAAATTAAAGTTTGATTTTTTGAAGAGGGGGAGTGTCTGATCACTGATGAAATCAATTTTCCCTCTTCTCTGCTGAAAATTGAAATAACTTCAAATTAGGGTTCTTCACTGAATACAAGTAACAACAATCCCGCTCGTCTATCTTCCAGGTATGTGAAATCTTCGCCCTTAACTCTTGATTTACATGCGTGGGCTTTCTAATTTCTACAAGATTTAATGTGTATAATAAAAAAAAATTACATAGTAGTAATGTAACTCACACCACTGAAATTCTGATACCTGAGCATATGATTATGAAATGGCGGCGCTGATGATATAGAATTTTTTTGGGTAATACTTCAAAAATAATATTTAGCTCATTGTAACTCAGACAACTGCTTTTCTTAGCCATTATATATTTTAAAAAAAATGATATCCGGAGTTGTTGTCCGATTTCTTGTCAACATTTATCCCCCACACATTCTCCTTATGAATTAGGATAAGAGATTTCATGAATAATACTGCAAATATCACAGAATAATAATAATATTGAATGCCGCTGTTCAAGAAGAAATTTACTGCTCGGATGAGTAGCTTTTGGTAGTCAAATGCTTAACGGAGAGAAACCATGATAATTTCGGGTCCGTTAAATTCACCAATTTGGACGGCCCCTGAAATAGCAGAGGCCGTTAATGGAAGAATCGTCAGATGGGCCCCACCCGGTTCAGTCTCCACCGATACTCGGTCCATTCATCCGGGTCAATGGTTTCTTCCCCTTGTCGGCCGAAGCTTTGATGCACACACCTTCATAACCCCTCAATTATCCGCCAAAGGGGTTGTTGGAGTCATCGGCAACCGCGTCTGCGAAAACTGGGACATGGGTTTTGTTCAAGTTGATGGCAGCACCACAGAGTCGCTAAAAAGATTGGCAATGTTTGCAAGGAAAAGGTTTAGTGGCTGCTTGATTGGTTTGACGGGTAGTGTGGGCAAGACCACCACGAGAGCTATGATAGCTTTGGCTCTGGAGAGCATTGGGTCAGTTTACCAGAGCCCCGGAAACTGGAATAACGATATCGGGGTTTCGTTGTCTCTTCTCGGGATGCCGGGGAATGTTGGGTTTGGGGTTTTGGAGATGGGTATGAGCAAGAGAGGAGAAATCTTGGAGCTTGCTGGTATTTGCAGGCCTAATGTAAGGGTGATTTTGAATGTGGGAGCTGCACATTTGGAGAATTTTGCGAGCTTGGAGGAGATCTCGATTGCAAAAGGGGAGATTTTGAGAGAGGCAACAATGGGGGATGTTTGTGTTTTGAATGCCGATGATCCTCTTGTTATGGACCTTGCTGTTCCTGCTGGTGTCAAGAAGGTCAGTGCTGTAGTCTAGTTTTGGTAAAAAATAAATTGAGATAAATTAGATGTTCTTTCGTATTTAAATTGTGTTTCGTATGTGCTGAGTTTGATAAGTGTGTTCGTAATTATATTTATGTAAATATCTTGTTTGGCAAATCTTTATAGCCACCTTAGTGTCTTGCCGTGGACCAAGTTAATTGTTCGAAATAACTTTCTTCCAGGTGCTATTTGGAAGGAGACAAGGCTCTGATGTTCGGCTAGTTTCAATGCAGAGTATAGATGGTGGTCTTAAAGTAGAGACCGTTTTGGAACATAATGAAGAAACGTAAGTTTTTTTCTCCGCCATTTCAGCAACTAATATTCACTTATAGCACAGGTTGGCAAGGCATTTGGCTATTGAAACTGCAATTGGTGAAATGAGTAAAGATGCAAATTCTTTTTGAGAAGTCCTTATAGGCAACTTACAGTTTATTGATATGTGATAACTAGTTGGTGAAAAAATTACCCTTTTCTGAGTTGTCTTGCAGAAACTATTTTTCTTGACAATAGCAATTTTGCTCGTCTTATATAACAATTTGGATTTTCCTTTTAATTGCTCTTGTATCCCTTCAACTGCCTTTATGTTTTAATACGTCTCTTCACTCTAACTAGATATTCTTGCTGACTGTTATCCATTTGCATTAACTGTTCCTTGCCTACATAATTGAATTCACCAACATGATTTTCAGGGTCAAATTTGTCATTCCAAGTCCAGGCCTGCATTTGGCTCTAAATGCTTGTGCAGCTGCGGCTGTTGCAACTTCCTTGGGAGTTCCTCTTGCTCTAGTCGGAAAATCCTTGTCCAGGTTCATTCCTGTCCCAGGGAGGTCTGAGTTTCAAGTTACTACAAACGGTATTAACATAATAAACGATGTCTACAATGCAAGCCCTGTCAGTACAAAACATGCACTCGAATCACTAAGTGATATTCACTGCTACGGTAAAAGAGTTGCTATTCTTGGGGACATGCTTGAACTTGGTCCGACCGAGATCAAGTTACATGAACTGATTTTACAGCATTGTCTGGATACTCGTGTTGATTTGGTCGCACTAGTTGGCAAGAGGTTTCTGGCAGCAGCTAATAATTTACAGGTGGGGCAGGAGATAAATATGCTACATGCTTACGATTCTGAAAGCCTTGCATCCGACATTTTGGAGTACTTGCACTGTGGTGATGTTGTTTTGGTGAAGGGTAGCCGTGGAATGAAAATGGAGAAAATAGTTCACGCGATCAAGTCCTATAGTTCTAACAATGTGCAAAGACAGTTCTACTGCTAACTTAACAACCAAAAAGTCGCTTTCTTTTTTATTGTAAGATCGATTTGGGGATTCAACGGCTCCCAAAAGTCGCATAATTTTCTTTTCATCTTTCCATTTCAATCTTCATACTACACCAACACCACGAAAGGTACTGTAAAACTTAAAAGTATGTAATAAACTAGGTGTTCGGTTCTACAAATGTATGATCACAAGTCTGCCTGATATGGAACACCAGTCGATGGGAGCCAATTGTCTCCATCAATAAACGATCTAACAGTGAACTTTCCTGCATCAGATTGAGTGTCGTTAACACTCAACCCTTTCCATGTAACTCTCTCTGCAGTTGATGCACCGGGACCCACATTTTTGTATTCAATGTAAGATATGGTATCAGGGGCACCGACACCCTTATTCCAAGGCAGCCATCCCTTGGGATCAATAAAGCTCCCCAAATGGCTCTCCATAATAACGGTGGTGGAGTAATTCTTCCAAGGCCTACCCAAGTAAGTTTTAACTCCACGAAGATTCTCAGCAGGCATAATAGTACATTTCTGTATCGAAATACCCGTTTTTGAATACGGGATGTCTTTTCCTTGAGCAGTGATGACGGCCGTTTTCTGAGAGGGTGACTTCTTCACAAGTATCTCGGAGTTCTGTATGACAACAGCCGCGTCTCCGAAAATGAAGTCCATAGTTCCGTATATCTTGCACTCTCGATAAAACTGTCGTTTGGATTGCGTGAAAAGGGTGTCTTGATATGAATCGAAGAGGCATCGATGGAAAACTGATTGATCAGCAGATGAAAGCAAGGCAACGGCTTGACCGCCGCCTGCCCCTGCAGTGTTGTGAAATCCCATGTCCCGGGCAATGAATCTCTTGCCGTGGACAGCTGCATATATGAGATACACACACGTGCGGTAAGAAAACAAAACCAAGAAAGATGAATTGGTAAGAAGAATAAAAAATGGTGACTGTAGTTACCAAAGGTAGCAGTCATTGTGGTTGTGATTCCTAAACTATTGCTGCGGTTGCCAGAAACGATGGTTTTGTCCATTCCGTCACCGTACATTAAGACATTCCATTTATCCTTTGCAACATTCACATTTTCACGATAGAGTCCTTCCTTGACATAGATAACAAATCTATTCTTACTTCTTGCAGGCACAGCTTTGATGGCTTCGGTTATCGTCTCGTAGTCCCCTGAACCATCTTCTGCCACCACAGCATTGACTTTGATCCTTCTCTCCTTCACCAGTTTCCAGTACTTGGAAGACAACCAAGTGGGCTCGGAATCACTAGTAAGTTCACTCGACTTTTCTATTTCATCGACCATTGAGGATGGTTCTTGTGAGCTCATGTATTCATCGATCTTGCTTATTATGGCAAGGCTAGTAGTAACAAGTTTAGTAGATTTGTCCAAATTTTCAGCTACAACTTTTCTTACCTCATCCGGTGCGTATTCGAAGCCATCCATGCACGTATTCAGATCCGAACCGGCAGCACTTAGTAATGTTCGAAACTCGGTTCGTGTCTCGTACGTTGTTAGGACACTAGTACTTGTAGGTAATGACCCTTTGAGATTGTACAATGCTAGTGAAAGAAAATTACGACAACTTTTCATCGCAGACAGCAAAATCTTTTCGTTGGTATTTTCTAATATTTGAGTCAATTTCCCGTCGGTGGAGAATTTTTTGTAGACCATCGAGACCTCGTTTATGGACACTTGGACAGATAAGTTGTAAAAGAGGCGAGTGTCGTAGTTATTTTTGGAGTCGATTAGAGGAGAGAGATTATCGTAGCAAGTGTTTGGGTGTAGGGTCGTATCGCATAGGACACTGAGTGTGGTGAAGAGAGTCTTGTCTAATTTGCTTTGAGATAAACCAAAGGAAAATGCAAACGTAAACACCAACATTATTTTGTTTACGAAACAAAAGAAATTTGGAGAGCCCATGATTCAAGAATGCTTCTCTATGATATTGTTCAGAACCTACTCAATTCGAATGATGCAGGAAGTGAACCTAGTTTTATATTCATGTAGTTCGAATAATTAGGAAATTCACTTTTAGTATTGCAAATCCATAAACAGTAAACGAAAATCTTACATGATTAACCATATTCAGAATGAGACAATCCCTATTAATGGCTTTTAGGCAATCACAATATTCTGTTTTACCATTATAGCATATTCTCAGCATACCCATTAATTGGTTTTAACCAAATATTAGATTAACCTATTATTATAATTGGTATGCTTAGTTTAGTGTAAGCCTCGTTTTTTTGGGGCAAGGATTAAAAAAAGACCGGCACAATAGTAAATGCACTTGGTTTTACTCCAAAGAAGATAAATATAAAGAACTAAGTTTGTTCTTTCGACATAATGCGAACTCCTCATCCCGATGAAACGAGATCAAGAGTTCTTATAAATTTTGTACAATTTTGTGAGAGTGTGTATCTAGCTTCTTTCAATTAACATCTACGAGTCCGTAGATTTTGGCCTAAATTCTCATCTGGCTTGTTGATAGATTGCCTGCTGGAGATACTTTAAGGTTGTCTGATGATTTAGAAATCCCATGAACCAGAAATCGAAATTGTCCTCCGTCTCTATCTGCACGTACTTCTGTGTTGGTCTTTTCACATTCTCACTTTCGACGGCTCTCGTTATTTTTCTCAGTGGGATCATCACCTACATACATACATATATATATACAAGTTAAATACAAGACGATTTGTAGTTTTCATCTGTTGCATAAATAAACTTAGCCGATTGAAAAATATTACGTGATTCGAAATTTCAGTATTACCTTGTAATGTGCTTTCAGACGCTTCCCATTTGGCGAGGAGAGTTTGATGGATTTCTCACTACAGAAAGCAACTCTTTCACTCGAAACAAAGAGAAGCCCAGCTATTGGTCCAGCTGTCGTTGATAAATAGCACTGAGAAGCCTTTAGCAGTTTCTCGTCTTCTCTAACATTGAATTTCTGTCTGAAAACTTTCTCCACTCCACCGACTTGAAGAATTCTTGCCCCCAGGCTCAACTTTCCTCTCACCGTTTCGCTTAACTTCGGTCCCAATCTCACTGTAAGAACCATAACTATATCAAAACATTGCCACTATATATATATATAATTTGAGATTTTGTAAAATTTTCGTAAGTTATTAGTTACCATGCTCTCGAATTCCTTGAGCAAAAACATCCATATTTTCTCCGAGTTTGATCATCTTAGTGATTACCGAACTCACTTTACCTGCAAATTTTTTTTTTCCCGCAGAAAATCACGTCAGTTAATAATATTCGAATTTGTAACAATCAAGAAGCTGTGGAATCTTGATCGATGAGGTGCTTACCGTGTCTGATTTTGGAGTAATGTCTTGAAGGAGAAGGCATAAGTTGGTACTGAGAAGTTGGATCAGGTAAAAGTGCTTTCGGAGAACTTCTAATCGAGAACGCATACTCTGCCGAGCTGATTGGAAAACCGGTAAAATGTTTCTTATGCGCGTTTTTCTTAGCGAATCTTGATTGGCTGTGGTGCAGTAGTTCCATTGTAGTTGCTTGCTTTGGTTCAGAGTGCTATTAGAAGAAATGCTTCAAACCCGAAAACTTGATCTGATGAAAACTTGTTAGGTTTAATAATCTATTTATAAGGGGTTTTCGGGTTTGAACTTTTCAGCTGTATGAGTCAGCTTCGGGTCATCAGAGCCTAAGAAAGTTGAATATACGAGTTTCTGAATAATCTTTTTCGAACAAAATCGCATCAGAAAGTTGGTTTTGCTGCCTACTTTTTTCATTTCTGGTGATTATGAAAAAGAGGCAGACATATATTATTATCCTTTGATCATTCTTTAATTTTTTGAATTTTAATTTATTTATTTCTTTCTTTTTTGTACTACAGCCCATGTTTCTAAATTAAAGGTTACTTAATGTGATAAAGTTGGGGCAGATTATGTTTAATCATTCAAATATTTAGGTGATTCTGACTGTATGCAGATGTGGTATTACTACTTTGTTGAGCTGTTTTATTTGCTTTATGATGTAACTACCACTCCACCACCTTCAATTGAAAAAAAGAGATTTTTTTTTTAATTTTTTTTTTCTTTTTTGTTTTCTTTATTTGGTAACGAAGGAACCTGCAACCAATCATATAGGTGTACTGGGTAAATCTACACTCTCGTATAATAACTTGCAAACTATACGAGAGACGCAAATAACACGAGGTTAATCATGTGTGACAAACTCGATCTAGTGATCGTTGGCAAGGGGGTTCGAATTTTGGTCAATTGACACAAATTTAGGAATTCGAATTTGGGTCGATTGACACAAACTCATTTGCTCAAACTATTACGTCATCTCTTGCTGGAACAAAAAGAGAAAGATGTATTTGAATTTTCTATATATTTAGAAGGGTTTGGTTGCTTAGCAAGATTGGAATGCATAAAGAGTCTTCCTCCTCACATGCAAGCCACAACTTTCCCAATTACAGTGACACAAAAAATAAAAATAAATTAATTTGGTAATTTTAATACAATATAAAGATTTACAAAAAAATTACAGAAATGCAACACCACTAAAATTCTTTTATAATAAATGTGGGTCAAGAGGAATATATCTTATGTCCATATGGGTGAAAGTCGGATGGATCGGATCGGAATTAGCCTTTTCGGAAAATTTCCAAAAAATTTCGGAAGTACAAAATCAATTCCAATTCCAATTCCAAAATTTTCGGAATCTAAAAATTCATTCCAATTCCAAAAAGACCGGAAATTTCTGAATTTCGGAAACAAATCGGAAATCACATAAGCTTTAAAATTTCAAAACTTAGCCAAAATTTTCTATAATGTTCATAATTTTTCGAAAATAAGAGCATCCACGTCGATAAAAGTAAAACCAATAACTACTAAATTTCAGTTCAAAAAAAAAATAAAAAAATAAACACATCATAATATCCAATGAAACTTCTAACAACAATTCATTATGTCAAAATCCTAAAACAAAACTTATAGGTGTATTTTTCGAAAAATAAGTATTATATAATATATACTATTTATAGGTGTATTTTTTGGGAAAAAAATCGGATCGGAAATCGGAAATTCCAAATTTATTTTATATAATTCCAATTCCAATCCAAAAAAGTCGGAAATTTTCGGAAATCGGAATTTCGGAAGTCGGAATGGAAAAACTTGTTCCAAAATCGGAACTTTTCGGATCAAAACCGGCGGAAATTGGAAAATCGTTCCAACTTGCACCCGTCCCACATATAATGGATAGTGTCATTAAATTAAACCTTAAAAATGTGAAATTTCCACTGTGGCAGTGCTGAATAAATGGGGAGAAAAAGAAAATCAAGATCTCACATGTGAAAAAAAGCCTTTACACGTCAAGATGATGTTTTTTTATTTGAAAAACAAAGAAATCTGTTAAGTTCGTTATATACTTGCTACATTTGGTATATTTTCATTATTTTATTTAATGTTGTATACATCAACAAACATTTATTTATTTATTTTTTCTTTTAAGAATTTCCGGTTTCCTTTCTTGCTAAGCAACACTTTAAAAGTGTCATTTATATTTCCTCAAAATTTAATTGTGGTTACATCACAAAGCAAACATGCCACATCTGCATACACTTAGATCATCAAAACATTTGCAGAAAAAAGGTCTTTAATACTGGACAAATACATTTTAACCCCTCATAATATATTTCCATTTCGTCTTTAGTTTCCACAAAAAACAAAAAGGGTAAATTACGGCCACCCTGAAGTCATAAAGATTGAATTGTTAAATAATTATTTTCACCCTATCCAAGATGAAGTAAAAATTTATTACAACACACAACAAGAACAAAGAATGAGAAAATGTATACAAATATATGAAAAAAGCAAACCCCATCTTTTTTTTTTCTTCTTTCATTTGCTGGTTCATTTCAAGTGATGGTTACATCATAAAGCAGAAATGCCACCTCAAAAAAAGAGTGTTATTACCAACTATACAGTCAGAATCGACACATGTCCAATTGCAAACCTATCGTCGTAATTATCCGATTCCCATGTTCGTTAGAGATGAACCGAAAAAAGCAGAGAGAACAACTTTATGATGCATTCACCTTTAGTTCTTGGTGACACAAATCTTAGTCATGAATCGAAAGTTAAAGCACAGAAGTAGGGTAACGAAAATATATATACATGTTATATATATATATAGATAGATTAAGCCGAACAAAGATCAGAATCAGAGGAAGTTTCTTGTTAGTTGGTGAACATTCTGAAGCAAATATTATGGAGCTAAAACACAGCAAATCAAGAATCGGAAAGAAAAACGTGCATAAGAAACATTTTACCGGTTTTCCGATCAGCTCGGAAGAATATGCTTTCTCCTACAAAAGCTCTCCAAAAGCACTTTTACCCGATCCTGTTGCAAATTACCAACTTATGCCTTCTCCTCCGAGACATTACTCCAACATCAGACACGGTAATTAATCCCTTCTAGTAAATCTTGATTTGCAGTGATAAAAAAAAATAAAAAAAAATCCACGAATTCTTGATAATTTGTTTGAAGTTTGAATCTTAACTCAATGTGATTTTTCGATGGAATTGCAGGCAAAGTGAGTTCAGTAATTACTAAGATGATCAAACTCGGTGAAAACATGGACGTTTTCGCTCAAGGAATCCGAGAGCACGGTATGTCGTTACTCACACAAAACAAAAGTCAAAATTGAATACATAAAGTCAAAATTGTGACACGTAGAAAAATATTTGTGAACCGTGCAGTGAGATTAGCACCCAAGTTTGGCGAAACGGTAAAAGGAAAACTGAGTCTTGGGGCGAGAATTCTTCAGGTTGGTGGAGTGGAGAAAGTGTTTAAGCAGAAATTCGATATTAGAGACGATCACGAGAAACTGTTAAAGGCTTCTCAGTGCTATTTATCGACGACAGCTGGACCAATAGCTGGCCTTCTATTTGTTTCGAATGAAAGAGTAGCTTTCTGTAGTGAGAGATCCATCAAACTCGCGTCTCAAACTGGAAAGATTCTAAAAGCACATTACAAGGTATTATTAAACTACGTAAATTTCGTTCCGTAAGAGACTGTATCCTATCTTGAGACGAAAAAGATCGAAACAGAAAATTGTTATTAACTTGATTTATATGCAGGTAATGATTCCTTTGAGAAAAATGAAACGAGCGGTTGAAAGTGAGAATGTGAAAAGACCAACACAGAAGTATGTTCGAATAGAGACAGAGGACAGTTTTGATTTCTGGTTCATGGGATTTCTAAATCATCAGACAACCTTAAAGTATCTCCAGCAGGCAATCCATCCTCAATACCGATGAGAGCTTAATCCTAAAGATTTGGATGATGTTAAAGAAATACGTACAAATTTGTAAAAACGGTTCTTGTAATGACAAGTTCACTCTCGAAATAGCAAACCATGTGCATTAAAACATTTACACGAAGCAAGAGTTCACTTAACTTCAAGAAATCAGTTTAATAGAGTCGGATAAATCAGTTTATTAGATTAAAAACTTGCGTAGCGGTTCTCAAGAATAATTCAATCAACTTTTTCCTTTTCTTCCTCGTGAAATTTCGTTATTCCTAAATTGAAATATAATCCAAATCGTACGAGACACCATTTTTGGAGGCTTGCGTATTCGAATCCATTTGTCGACGCGTTAAGTGTATAAAATAGTCTCATCGTTAAGCATTGCATATACGATTAGAAAAAATGTAACACCAGCTTCAATCTAAGCATTTCTTTTATTTATCCATCCTATAACACCGAGAACTACAAGTACATTTGTACGGAGAACTCAACTACGTATGTAAATAAATAAATTAGACAAAAAAAATCGGATAAAGAATCAAGAGAAAGAATAGTGACCGGTTAGCAATGTATATACTCAGGAAGATTCTTTGCAGCTAGTGAGCACACAATCCTCCAAAAAATGAGTGAGCTGAGAAGAATAAAGTTTCGGGTCGTTTCGGAAATGGTCAACATGTGGTGTTGAAACGAAGTTGCAAGATCTGACCTTGTGTCCACTCTTCCGTTGCTTCTCTATAAAAGATTCCACAGAATCTGACGGAATAACTTTGTCGGCCGAGCTATAGATGTACAGTTGTGGACAGTTAGGTTGTTCGGATGATAATACGCTCATCACATCAGTAAGTCTCCTGTAATTTGAGGGGGAAAAGAAAGAAAAAAACAATTCAGATTAAACAAAATTAAAAAAAAATGAAATTTAAAAAATTTCGGCAGTTGCCTAAGGATCACAGTGATTGTTTTTATATAATGTAATAACAATTCAAAATGGTTATGGAATATGATTTACCTGTTTATGGGAGGATGATTCAAAACCACTCCGAAAAATTTCTCGAGAACGAGGAGAAGAGCTGCTTCGGTCAAAGCAGGTTTGACTTCAATTGATGTTCTGGTTCCTACTGTTAAATCAGCATCTGGTTTAATGACAGAACCCTTTGTTGCAACACTATTCTTCTTCAGAAATGCAGCAGAAAATCCGGAGGCGAAAACCTACAAACACGTCAAAGGCAAGTCAGGCAACATTGACCATAGAAAAAAGGACAATAACAAATGAATACGAGCCAAGCCCAAGCAAACTTCAAACATCGAGAAAAAAATCTATAAGCACATTCCCATCAAAAATATTTTTTAATAAAATTTCTTGCTCTGCTTCGGAGGATGCATTGGCTATTTATATTAAAGATAGAAGCAGACAGAAAAAAACAAGCATTCATCGGCATTACATAAACTGATATTACTACGACGAATTTGAATAGCCACAATGATAGTGATCAATATTTTCTACACTAGATGATATACATATCGGTTACATTTCCAATCGTTAATATTTTCACACCATTACCTGTGGATCGGGTACTGCCACCGGAGCAGAATCAACAATGCAGCCTCTAATCCTTCTCGTTAGAGCAGAATCCATCTTCTGAAACTTCTCCAAAATAACCCCATATCTATAAAACCAAATTAAAAGACACATAAAAAATACTGTTCCACGTATACATCAAGAAAAACTCGTTTTATTTTTTCAATGAGAAGTACGAAGATGAGGAAACACTTACGTAAGCCACCCCGTATTACTAAACGTATGAAAGACCAAGTTCTTGCCATGCTCCTCTTCCAACCACTCAGAAAGATGATCCACAAGCAATTCCACATCCTTCTCGGCTTTCCCGCCGACTTTATAACTAAGCACCTCGGACATTGGAAACGTAAATGTAATAACATGAAACCCTCTCGAATTATACCACTCTGCGTATCTATTGAGGTGCTTCTGCTTAGCACCCAACCATCCTAGCAAAACCACCACTGTCTTAGATTTAGCCAACGAAGAATCGGAAGAAACCCCGGATACATTGACAGCCTTAGGATCGGGCAAATGCCATCTATACGAAACATCCAACGGCTGCGAAGGAAAACTGTAAGGATACGCGGCCGGTTTCGCGGATTTTTTCGTCAAATCGGCTGATTGGTATATGTTGAGTAGAACAGGGGAAGAAGATACTAAAGAATAATTAACGTTGTTAGTGTTTGGGATTGGTATTTGGGCATTAGGTATGGGTACGCGAATTCCGGTAACGAAAGATAATTCGGCTAATTTGGAAGTGGTTATTCGAGACACCCATGAAGAATTTATGTCATTTAATAAATGTGAAGAAGAATAGGAAGAAGAAGAACAAGGGTTTGATTGCTCCAATGAAGAACAAGCGTCTGGGGATTTACTAGGGCGTAGCTTTTCGCAACAATCGGCGGAAACAGAAGCTATTGCTACGGCGGAGGCGGCAAGAACCGGCCTTTGAAAAAATCCAGACAAGGAACCCATGATTTTTCTCCCCTCAATTAATTTTCATACAAAAATCAGGGAGAAAAAATAAAACAATCGGCGCTGAATTGCGACGAATCGGTTGTATAAACCCTCAATCTCCGCCTGCGTGAAATCGACGATGATGAATTTGGGGCCAATCAAAAAATTGAAGAATCGGAAAAACGAGAATCAATGGCGGAATTGGAATAGGGTTAGAAGAATCAATCACCTGTAAATTTGGAGGAGAAGGATACATACATATATATATGGGCTGTCAATTTGAATGACAGCCCAGCCCGGCCCGAAACGAAGCAGCGCCGACCACCGAAGCAGAATTTCTTCGTATGAGAGAGAGGGAAGAGTCAAAAAAAAGCTGTTTGATTTATTATAATATGTTCTTCAACGCGTTGAAGCAGACAATATAAAGCGCGTGTGTTAATTAAGACTCGCTATCCTAATTAACCACGTTTTATTTCAATATTTTAATTTTAGGGTAAATACAACCACACCCCCGATGTATGGTCAAATTACGAAAAAAATCCTCGTGTTTGGGTAATTACAACTACCTTCCTCAACTATGTACGTCCACCCTTATGGTGTAAAATTCAACGTAATCTTCTAGATTCCGTGGAATGTTTGTTTAATTTGTACTCGTTTTGTGCGAAAATGCAGTTTCTGATGCACCACAATTCGATATACACAAGCCAAAACACACATCTTGTGATCGATCATCTTGCTTTAAAAATGTGGGGCTCGAATGGGATAAAATTGGTACAAATTTGAGAATATTCTATTAAATTAGAAGATTCACTAAATTTGATACCACAAAGATGGACGTATAATAAGATTTATAGTTGAGAATTATTGTAATTACCCAAACATGAATGGTTTTTTTGTAATTTGACCATACTTCTGGGATGACCGTAATTTACGCTTAATTTTAAGAAGATGATACGTAATTGCATATAGTTACGGTTTCCTTTTTCTTTTCTTTTTCTTTTAGGATTTAATAATGAGAAAAGGTGTGGTGTAGGGACCCGCCACGTGGAAATTGGTAATATACTCCCGTATTTGAGGACATTTATTCCGCTCCACCTAATTATATCACATGATATAATAATTAAAAAAAATAATTAGTGAATTGAATATCAAAATTATCGAGAATATTTAATATAACTACTGAAAATATACAACTCATCTCACGAGTAATTGGGGGATAACTATTTAATATTGAATATTAATTATTAACTATTAAAGTCATTAAGGTGGCATAAAATCTTTGGATTTGTTTATTTTTCTTTGAAAAATAACTGCGCCCAGAATCCTCGAACCTTTTAACATAGTCTTGTGATAGTATAGCTTTATTTGATGCTACACTTGGTAAAATAAGGTGGATAATTATTAATTTTTAATCTGCACGTAATTACATAACTACCGTATATACCTCTACTTAGTCGGAAGTTATTTCACCACATTAATAATTAAAAATTAACTGACGTGCTTCACTGTAGCATCTCAAATGTCCGATGGTATATGCCGGATTGCCAAAGTAATAAATCAGATAAATTCCAAATATATAGTTGTCAGATAAGACTTTACTACTTCCAAACAATACAGATACACATACATAACATACCCATCCATTCTCAGTAAGAAGAATATTCGCATATTACTCTAGGATATCCTTATATCCAAGCATTTTTTATATTTTTTGTCACCATTTTTGGATGCTGAGAATTTAGAAAATAATTTTTTTTTTCTTTTTGGATGCTGAGAATTTAGAATTAATTTTAATTTATTTTCAAATCCATATAATTTCAGTTCCGAAAATATGATAGCTAAATTACAAGGTCAGTTTCATTTTGATAGCTAAATTACAAGGTCAGTTTCATTTTGAGTCGTGCTTTTAAGTTTTAACCTTTCAAATTATAAAGACTTAAAAATAATAATAATAATAATAATAATAATAATAATAATAATAATAATAATAAAATAAACAAATAAATAATTCTAACGTATGGTACGCCATGCATTTAATTGGCGGAAATAAAACAATTACATGCAAAAAGAATTGAACCAATTTTTTTTTCTCTTAAAAACAATGATGCAGATGTAACTTTACAAAACTATTTTCAACTCAGGCAAGCCCGAAAATGAAAGCAAAAAACAGACAATACGGTCGTTAAACACACTCGTTTTTCGACTCCACACAACATTTTTACTTGGGCAATGCCACAAGGCACAAAATGCTAACCGCCTTCTGCTAAAGCACTTAAAAATCACAAACCAATTCGATATACTACTACAAGAATTTACCTGTTTGAATAATAATCGGTACTTGAACTTTATATATACTTTCCGGTGATTTTTCTTTTCTTTTTCGGATTTCTCGTAGAGATTTTAATTAAAAACTCAGCCCATTCTTGTGCTGTTCCTCCTGCCCCACCATTTCTTTCTCGTCGGCTCTTCTTCATTTCCAAGCTTATGTAGAATCACCTTCGTTTCCCTAAGCCTTGCTCCATAATCTTTCTTCCAACCTAAGTCGAATTACAGAACCACTAATTAATTAATAATTACTCCTTTAAATTATTATATATTAAAAAGAGAATCTTTCTTGCAATAATTACCTTCAAACATCTGTTTCAACCTGCGAAGCTCGCTATCCGGATCCAAACCCGCCTCGACCTGACCTGATTTCACTTCCACAAGGAACTTGGCATCGTCACCGAAAACTTGACTCCTCTGCTCAAACTCCTCAGCCAATCGTCCGATGACACCTGTACCAGCGCTCGTGGACGATCTCACACCGTTGATTTCGTGGGCTTTAGTCTCCCAGATAGTTGACTCTTGATCGTCGTTTTCGTTGACCGATGCGTCCGAGTTTCTCTGGGAGTAGTCGCTTTCAAAAGCGAGGCTCTTTTTAGCTATTGACAGGCTGGATTGGAGTGACCTCATTTGCTTCTGCCACACTTGCTCCATTGAATTCATTTTGAGCTCGTATTCTGACCAACGGTTCTCGTATTGTTGGAGGCGTTGGCTGAGGATTTCGTTTTCTTCTTCTTTTTCTCTTAGGGTCGCTTCTGCTCTCAGAACCCGTCTTTGTAGTTCGGCCAGGAATGTTGACTTTACGAGCACTTCTTCTGGCTCGGTGCCCTGCTTTGTGTGTATGTGTGTGTGTGTGTGTGTGAGAGAGAGAGATGTTATTCAATCCAAAATACCATGAGAGAGAGAGAGAGAGAGAGGCTAACTCTTACCTTTCTTTCCCCAAATTGCAGCAATCCTATGTCCCCCGAGCATCTTCTAACCAACCAGCCACGAATAACTGAAAAAAAAAAGGTGGGCACGATGAATTTAGGAATACCACTTTCACCTATAAATACGAAAGCTCAATCACTTCATGGATTTTGAAATGAGGAGAAACGAAAATGCATACGCAAATGAAAAAATAATAGTTTGAAAATCTCTAGTAGGGTTGTTTCCTAAAGAAAATAGCGACGGAATCGATTTTGTGAAAAATCATTTTCTTTTAACCAGCAGACATGTTTGTTGAGGTTCTGCCTTAGAGGTGAACTACTCCATAAATTGGTCGTATTTTAGAGACGGAAATAAATTGGAAGTGAAGAAAGATAGAAAACTTGCTAGCGTTTTACGAGTAGTTTTCCTCACCTTTTTTTTTAAGAAAATGTAATTCCCTTGCTAACTAAGCAGTTTATTTGATGTAGGATATAAGTAATAATGAATGGATATAAAGCTTTATCCAAGTTCCATCTGGTACAAAAGAATATAAACTACAGATACCTGATTGTATTGCAGTTGATGCCTCGTTTAATCTTCTGAATTTATTCCTGCAAATCCTGGCTTTTATTCGTTTCTGAATATGTATAGCAGCTCTATGCCTCTGCAATAAGACTGAATACTCTTTTCTAGTCTTTTCACCACGAAAAACTGCATCGAAAAGTTTTTTTATGATTCAGCAATATTAATAAAATAAAATAAAACACACACACACACACACACACACACACACACATATATATATATATATATATATATATATATATATATATATATATATATATATATATATATATATGAATTACGTGATCGATAAAGACTTACATGACTGAAGAGTGACAATCCCTCTTTTTAACTCTTTCAAACGGCAGCGAGCTTGATGACCTCGAAAGTAACTTTGCAAGCGCAATATACCATGGAGAGTACGGTTTCTAGTATCTTCGAGTACTCCAATCTGCATTAATTTAGAAATTCGACAAAATGATTATTAAAATGATTAATTTAGATTAAAAAAAAATATATATATTTTCAGCTAAAGACTCTTTGAAAGGTTCGATCGTTGGCTTTCATAAAATTATTTGCAAAGTAGTACTTCTTATACTTAAAAAGTCTTACTTTGGATACTTGTGCAAAACAAAGTATACAAATGTTTTTTTATGTGCAAATTAACAAATAAACGTAATCCCACGCTATAGCTAGAAAGAAAAACGGAGTTGCTAAATACACAGACACTGTTTTCGCCTGATTTAATTATTCGTTTGATTAACAGATGAAGAGAAAAAGGAGAGTAGAAATTATACTCACCTGTCCTGTACGAAAGAACAACTTTGTATAGCCGACTTGATACATCTCCGGTAAAATATTGAACTGATGAAGAATCGCTACTGAAACACTGAGTGGATCCTGTGAGGCAACGTGATCCAATAGAAGAAATCCATACCTGATGAACGAAGCAGGTCAAATGCCAGTCAATAGAGAGATATATGATATGATATCTGTGGAATTATTTAAAATAAAAAATAAATAAAAAATTAACCTTTTGGCAAACTTTTGATGCGTCATTCTTGTAGGAAAACCGGATCTTGATATTCGAACAACTTCTAAAACTCCACAGCACCGTAATTGTTGAAGCACAAGTTCTTGACTGTAGCTACCAGGTGACTGAGTGTTGTTCGGCTTTATACAGCGTATGAAATGCGGTGTTGTGTTTTCGAGGCGTTTCATTAATTGGAACAGTTGGCCCTAAACCAAACAACATTTGTTTAATACCAAGAAACAACAACAAAAAAAATTGCCATTATGTTTCTTCGAAAAAAATGATGATTAAATTAATTGTACCTTGAATTTTGTTGTGACGCTTAATTTTTGCGAATTCGCTCCACCGGATTTATATAGTGCACCCACTACTGGCTTTTCGGATTGAGTAAGCATAGTGGAGGCAAAAGCTTGAGGAAGGGGGCACGTGCAAGAAGACAAAAGTTGGATGGAATCTAAATGAAGTAAATCCCGATTCTTTTCTAGAAATCCAGTTGTGTCGTACGTAACCTGAGATGGGAAAACAAATGTTTAAATAAATAAGTAAAAAAATCACTCTTGATCCAGTTTATATTGAACACTGTACAATCCCTAAAAGCATAGTTCAAATGAAATAAGCAATGATATGATAATTGTCTATCGGTTTTTCTGTTCGTTTTTTTTTTTATTTAAATTATAAGATAAGGGAATATGCAAGTAAAATGAATACCTCTCCTGCAAAATGGGACACAGTAAAAGCTTTCCCTCTTTCTCCTCTAAAACAAGGATTGGAGTTCAAATGCTGCTTGAGCTTATTGGCAAAGCTCAAATCCGTGCCATTTGGAAAGGTAGATTCCTCGTCAAGCAACGATTGTAACCCTAATGGCTTCTGCTCAAAGATAAAACAATTAAGCGTCCACCCAATAAAAAAAATGAACGTTACGAGTCAACTGAATGCAGTTCATTTGTCATTACTATTAGCAATGCCAAGAAAGTTGAGTTATTGTACCTTCTCGAAGAGATTAAGACAATCTTGATTGTCTTCAAAGTCAACCTTTGTCCAGTCAATGCCGTCTTGAATGTATTCCTGGAGAAGGCAAAACATTAGAGCTTTAAAAAAAGTGATGATACATATTTATAACAATCATCTTTACGAGAAATTATGAACATTAAATAAAGCGGAGATATGAATTAGTCACCTCTTGCTCCAATTTGAACAAGTGACGATTGAAGTGTTGTTGTAATCGTTCATTGGCGTAGTTAATGCAGAACTGCTCAAAACTGTTCCTCTGAAGAAAAGAAGTAAAACGAGATAAGCACAAATGCAGAAGCCAAAAATGAATATAAGACAAAGTTTGCAGAAATACAAACCTCAAACGATTCAAAACCGTAGATATCGAGAATACTAATGGATCTTCCGGTGCGGATTTTGCCAACTGCTAATGATTTATTAATTCGTTCGACTAGCCAGTCAAATAAACAAGAATAAATCGATTTAGCCAAAGCATCTCTCGTATCAATTGCCTGAAAAATATTATTTAAAAAAAATTACTCATTTTGTCACATATATAGTTTACAAATCCGAAAGACACTAGTAGCAATATCTAACCTGAGGCAGGGTAAGTTTTTGAACAATTGTATCATTTCCTACTCTCATTTTTCGAGTCGATAAAGCTAGCTTTAGTTCCTCAATGTTGCACTCAATCAGAGTGGCAACGTTGACTAGACCTGGAAACAAGATACAATTTCTTTTATATGTATGTAAGCAAATAGTGGGATTATTTAATATATTTATCCACTTTACAATCATCACTGAAATTAAAAAAAATACAAAACCACATTTAAATTAAAAAATACACTCACCTTCATCCACCACTGGTTCGACGTGATTTTCACTATCGATCACTGTAAATGAGACATTTCCGAGCCACAGAACTGCAGCTAACATTGCAAATACGGAATCTTGGGATTCTTTTGCAACATGGACAATATTCAGAGCTTCCTAAATTTACGAAGAAGATTAATAATAGCTAAGCTTACTTAAGTTTCGGCATATAAGATCATACAAAATGATTAAGGTTGGATAATGGTGATGTTAATCCGTAAGTATGAATACCGTTACTACACGAAACTGTTCTGCATCGTCAACACCAGAAACTGTGAAGCAGTTACTTTGGCTCAAATACTTGAACTCATCTGCATTCCTTAAGTTCAATTTTTCTGCGTAAAAAAACGTAGAAAACAACCAATAATTAGCAGATAATTTAATGGATTTATAATATATATAAATATTCAAAACAAGAACTGCACTTTTGGATGAGAAAATAATTGTACCTCTAAGAAGAGGTGGAGCTCCAGCACAAAGCTGATAAAAGATATGATATGACCTTTCTCCCGCTGAACTTTGAACAACTCTCGACTGTTTAAAAAAGAAAAAGAAAAACAAAAGAGCCTGAATTGAGTTTTTGAATCAAAAGCAAATGATGATAATGAACAAAGTCGAAGCAGATCGAGAAATACCTTCTCGAGTAAAACTACAAGAGCATCGGATGAGAAAACACAAAAAGAAATAACTCTAAGTCAGTCTTCGTATTTCCATAATTGTATACATTAATTTGAAATCGAGATCTTTAAATATGGATGATATCTTACAAGTTTGAATACTGGCACCCGATATTTTTCCAGTTTCACTAAAGTGAATTTCAATCAGCTTTCCCTGCAGGTAAAAAAAAAAAAAAAAAAAAAAAAAAAGAATCGAACTATTCACTTTCACGTGCAGGCTGTGTTTAATTTCTCATGCAAGCAAACCAAGAAGATGAATCGAGCTGTAAAACCCAAGCAACTTACAAAGCGACTCGAGTTGTCGTTTCTTAATGTTTTGGCATTACCAAAGGCTTCCAAAATGGGATTCGTTTTCAGTATCTCGTACTCAATTCCACTACCACCTCCCAAGGCAGCCAAATACTGCATTGCTATTTTTGCCGTCTCGGTTTTTCCAGCTCCACTTTCCCCACTGGACCAAGCAAAAGCAATCAAATCCCACACTTGGTCAAACTGAACAGAAATTTTCTTTCTATTTTCTTTCAGATAAATAAAGTTTGGCTGCTAAATAATGCAGTGCGACGGAATTCCCAGCAAATAAACGAGCAAGCAGCGAAAAGAATATAAAAATTCAAGATAAGTGCTTAACTAACCTTATAATGATGGATTGATTCACTTCATCTGTGGATGAAAAAAACCAAATCACTCAGTTGAATTATTGCCAGAAAAGGAGTTAGTTGCTAATTGCAATTAAGTTTAACTAATTACCTCGGATCATTTCACGCATGGCTGCATCAGTGATGGCATACACATGTGGGCTCGCCATGGATTTGCACTTATAAGCATCAATATAATCATCGCCATATAACGAGACTTTTTTAAAGGGATTAACGGCAACCAAAACAGGGCCCGCTTTGGTCTGAAATTGAACGGGCAAAGTGAGAAAAATCGTGCACGACGAAAATTCAATAGAAACATAAATTTTTTAAAGACGAATTTAAACACGAAGGTGGTAAACTTACGTAAATCATATCCTGATTGTACCTATACTGGAGATTGTACAATACTGACGGTTCGTTTAAGTAACTTAGTTGCATGAGATCATCCACGCCATCGAGTATATCGGGATTTGAAGGAACCAGAGATTCCATATTCACTTTCAAAACCTACACAATATAAAAATGGTTAGAAAAGGCGAAACAACTTCTTTAGAAAAAAATATCGGAAACCGAATTTTACGCTTACTTTTTCGTCGGCCAAAGATATTAAAGACTCATTTCCAGAAGTTTGAAGAATAGTCGCCAGCTCCCAATTACCATCAGGAAGTTGAAACCATGACTGAAGCTTCTAAAAAAAACATAAACTTAAACAATTAAATGATAATATCGAAGATAATTACATGATATTGTACTAGTTAAAGGGAATAATCTGAAGCTACTATCAGATAAACTAACGAGTTTTATAGTGCATATATGGTTCACGGAATCATTTCACTCATTAAAGTGCAATGTAATACAAGGATTTCATAATACTATTTTTTTATATAAATGCATGTTATGATTCAATAACGTAAGACAACACTCCGTTTTTTCATGTTTCTTCTACACAATCTTCCCCAGAAGATATTTATTATCTCACTTAAACGTTATCCACAAATGGTAATGCTATCGAACTCCAAATATCATCTTTCTTTTTATCTCCAAATTGAAATTTTCTAGTGACCATTTTTTTCTTTCCTCATAGGAAATTCAGTTAACATGTTCGTCACGACGGACTTGTGAGAATTTCTGAACGCTCGGTGCTTGACTAATAAGATAATGGAAAAAAAAACGGCAAGGATTATACCTTCTTCGTAGTGTAAGGGGTGGTGTCGCTCCACTTAGAATCGACATTGGATCGTTTAATCGACCGCGTAGGAGTATTCTTAGCCGGCATATCCAAATTATAATAAGGCGATTCATCATTTTCCGAACCAATATCACTCCTTCCTTGAGCAGAATCACTCGATAACTCTACATTATCCGATACATTATCAGATAAATTCATCCTATTACTCCCAGAAGAACCCACAAACCGTAAATCCACGGGCAACGATTTGATCGACTGGAGGGAAGGCGAGCCCTTAACTTTCTTCTGTGACATTTTCTTATCCTTTTTTTGCTACAATAAATGAATCAAACAAACAGAAATATAATTGGATCAAAAGTGGATCTTTCTTTTTTCTTCCTTTAAAAAGGAAATCGAACTTTAGCTCGGCGGACCCGCAGAATTAGCTGCCGAACTCAGTGGAATGTACCATACTATAACTATTACCAAACATCAACAAGTGACTGACTCTTCACACCGTTCACAAATCACAATCATAAACCCCACTTTGCAGCTATTCCCAACCCAAAGAAAACCTAATTACATTAACAATTACTTCCTTGTAAATTGAGGGGGGAAACTAAAAAATAAATAATATCATAAAATTAACCAAATCAGCAGCGCATTTAATTACTCGAAATAAATACTAAAAATGCGTTATCAAAATTTCGAAATTAATTTCGAAATTTCAAACAATGCTGAATGCTTCAACAGATCTCTCAACTTGGGGGAAGAAAAAAAATTAATTTTTTTTCTCAGAAAATAAAGTAGCAGGCCCCGCGGTGGTGGATCAAATTGTCGTGAAAAGGGGCAGCAAATTTGACAATTGGATGATAATGAAGTGGAAAATTAATTATTTTTTTTAAATTATGAAGTAATGTAAGAGAACGCAGACAACTTCAATTCAAACAGCGATGAAATCAAACACTGGCGGAACTGGAGAGAAGAAGAAGAAGAAGAAGAAGAAATTGGGCGGGATAATTGGTTCATGCGGTGAAGAAAGCAGAGATTAAATCCGACAACAAAATGTGATTAATCAAATTGTCTGTGAAGAAAGCAGAAAAAAAAGCAGTGTGTAGTAGCTTTTGCTATGCTTTGGGCAAATATGCAGTGGGCACAGATGGGGGGTGGGGGTGGGGTGGGGTGGGGTGGGGGGATGTTGTGTAGCTATAACCTCCATTTGATTTTTTCAAATTTTGGGCACCAAAGGAATTTTGAAACAATTTCTTTTTTCTTTTTTTCTTTTTTTTTAAAGATTGCATTTTTATTGTTTTGAATGAATTGGACTCATATTCATTGTGAATATTGACCTTAAAGAATCACATCATATTATCTTCTACTTTTTATTACTTACTTGGCAAATGTATGTAAATGAAATAAATATTTTATTATTGTTCTTTTAAGTTTTAACTATTTACTTTTATGATGAATATAGTTCAAATTGTTGATGCAAAGGATATTATGTAGTCTTAGAAAAGCTAGGTATTTATAATAAGGGTTAATATGCTATGGGCCCTTCAAACAAAACATAATTTGAACTAAATGACAAGTTTAAATCCATTTTTTTAATTAAATCCATAATTTGAAATAATATATGCCTCACATCCCTATAAAAAAATTAATTCCGATCTTACCCTTATACCCTAAATCTTATAAACTAATTATTTACGTTTCTCCGTCAGATCTATTCTTCTCTTCTTCTCTTCTTCTTCTGCGTCTCTTCTTCTTCTGTGTCTCTCTTAATCTCTCGTTTTCTCTGGCTCTCTTTCACTCAATTTCTCTCTCTCTCTCTCTCTCTATCTCTCTCTCTCTCTCTCTCTCTCTCTCTCTCTCTCTCTCTCTCTCTCTCTCTCTCTCTCTCTCTCTCTCTCTCTCTCTCTCTCTCTCTCTCTCTCTCTCTCTCTCTCTCTCTCTCTCTCGCACCACTCTGTGATTGAAGAAGGTGGTGGCTATGGCGACGACCAAAGCGGTGGAGGCGGCGACATGGGAAAGGTAGTTATCAAGGTAAGTTCGAGGGTGATGCTGGGCAGCGACGGTGTTGGTCGTCCGGTGATGTTGGGGAAGGTGATGGCGTCGTGGGTGGGGTGGGTGGTATCCTTAATTAGTGGCGTGGATGGGGGTGGGTGGTCGTTGGCGTCACGGATCTAGGGTTTGGTGGGTGGATCTAGGGTTTGGTGGGATGGATCTAAAAATTTTCGATTTGATGTCTATGTGTTACTATGGGTGTGTGGCGGCAAGGGTTAAAAGGAGTTGCTAGGAGGGTTTCAAGAATATGCTATCGGAGATCTCTATGGATTACTACGGGTTACTATGGATTACTACAGTTTCCTATGGGTGTCTATACATGACTGAGAGCGATTTTTTTTTTTTTAATTCATAATTTTTAATATTACGTAGAAAAGAATGGAAAAAATAAATTCCTAAAATACTGAAAAAAAGAATACGAAAAATGAATAATAAAATAAAAAAGAGTAATGTGTTCTACGTAAAAAAAATGTTCGATGCAAAATGAAATGTTAAATGCATAATAAAAAATGATCAACGCAGTATAAATATTACTTGATGCAAATTTCATATTTTGTGTGTGGAGGGTATTTTGGGGATGAAATTTATAAAGGATGTGAAGCAAATGTTTTGTTAGACTTGTCATTTAGTTCTAATAAGTTTTGTCATCAGGGACCTATATCTTAAGGCCCCTTATAATAATGGGGAAATTTGGTAAACATCTTCGGGCAGTAATACGTAATACCCTTTCAGATCAGGATAGTAAAAATTTGGCATTTTGGTAAAGGGGATCACTATTTCAAATACTGAATTTTGCTTACTTGAATACCAAAAAAATAAAAAATAATTAATTAATTGTAAATTACTTTAATGCCCTTAATGAAAATTAAAACCAAAAAAATATTACAAATACTATTCTTCTTTCTTAAATACCAAATAATCAAAAACCTAAAAAAAACATTTCCCTCCTCACTCACAAACCCCTCACCTCCTCCACCTTCTTCTTCTCCCTCCCCAAAAACCCTCCCAAAAAACCTCAAAACAAAAGAAATCAAAACATTACACAACTTGCAAAATGGCGTCAAATGACAATAGAATGGTAGTCTACGAGCAAGGAGAACTCATTCAGGTATGTATTCATGTATTTTTTGAGCTAAAACATCGATTTGAATTATTTTTTTTTTTAAAACTCGCCATGTATTTTCGACACATACAGGTCGAAAATACCCTTATTTTTCGACATGTATGTGTCGAAAACATAACAATTCATATTTTATTAAGTTTCGACACCTAAGTGTCGAATTTTGATACAATTTTCGACACTTAAGTGTCGAAACTGACCTCTATTTTCGACACTTAAGTGTCGAAACTGACCTCTATTTTCGACACTTAAGTGTCGAAAATATGGGTCATTTTCGACACTTAAGTGTCGATTTTGTTCATGTTGCAAATTTAGTTGTCTTATATTTTCGACACTTTTGTGTAGATCGATTGCACCCATTCATTTACCACGTCAGAAAAATTCCCAACAAAAGAAGCTTTATTGGCATGGGTACATGAAGTAGTAAAAGAATGAAATGGTGTAAATGATTGCGGGTTCGAGTGACGGGGATAGAGGACGTAGGACACCGTATGTGATTGTTTGTTGTGAGCGTGGGGGCCATTATGGTGGCAAGAAGGTACCAGGTGAAGATGATCAAAGAACGGGAAAAAGGAGCACCGGTTCAAAGAAATGCAATTGTCCGTTTAAATTGAAGGGGACAAGAGAACACAAAGATGATGAAAAGGCTGAGTGGAAATTGGATGTTTATAATGGTATTCACAACCACAACTTATTTGAAAACTTGCACGGACACTCTTATGCTGGAAGATTATCAAAGGAGCAGGTTTCCTTTGTTCACACTATGAAGAAAACAATGGTGAAACCAAGGGCAATTCTTTTTGAAATTCGACAGCTAGCTGTCGAATTTGAGCTGTATCAATTTTTTTTTTTTTTTGAAAAAATTGCAATTTTTTTTATTTTTTTTTGTGAAATTAACCCCAAATATATTGCAATGTAACATAAAAAAACATATTCTAAGTGTTTTTGGACAAAAAAAATAAAAATTGCAATCCTGTGTTTTTTTCTTCCTACTAAACACACGTTTCACAACCGTCTGTGGGGCATCGGACGAGCTCGATGGCGGTGGAATTGGCCCTATCGAGCTACCTGGAGGTGGTAGTGGGGCATCCGACGAGCTCGATGGAGGTGGAAGTGGGGCATCCGGCTCGATCAATCTGACAATATCATTTAGGGTCCCCCACATGACCGTATGAGCGTCGGATGGCGCAAGTCCCCGCACCTCGCTAAGTGTACCCTTCACCAACTCCAAAATTTGTGAAAGTTGGACCTCCTTATCGGTACCACCCCCTGGACGAGCTTCATGTGGTTGAGGTCGATCCGCCTGGGGTCGAGGTGGATGGGCTCCATGCCTACTCAGTTGTAACATGCATCTGGGTCGGAACCAATTCATGTAGTCCGGCGAAGTGTCCGCCTCCCCGAGTTCAACTTCAACGGACCTCGACTCCTCGTCCAGACAATACTCCTCCCACCGATCAGAGAATCGTTCGTCGTACGCAACGAAAATAGAGTTCTGGACCGATCGACCTTTGCTAACAAGAGCTTTGTACATATCTTTTGACATGTAGGCACGACCTGGAATAATTTGCACCCGGTTGAACTGCCTCAACACTCTGTCCGGATGATATGCCTCGAAGTGGTCCATGCAACATATCATCCCACTAAACCAAGCAGAATCTGGCATCGGGAAACGATCACGAATAGCCGTATACGGTGACCATAAAACCTAGTAAAATAAATAAAAAATTAGATTTAAAAACCTACTTAAGTAGTAATAACAAATTATTAAACTGGTATTTTACCTGATCGGGGATCAAATCATCTAATCGAGATCGCAGGTACGACGCTCGTTCAGGCGTTGAAGTAGTCTTTGACTGAGGCTCCCATCGGCTCGCTAATGGCCCCTCGAATTCCGTCTTCAATGTGCCACCCGCCAAATAAGGAAAGTGCTCGTAAATCCATGACTGAAAGAGCGTCAGCCAGCCAGCCATCGAGTTCGTTGATTTTTGTGAGGCTGACGAAAGCTCATCGTACAACCGGCAAAGACATGCAGTGCCCCAAGCATACTCGCCGATCCGATCCAAATCAGATACAAGATTTAGATACTCCACGCTTACCATGTTGCCTGTCTTGTCGCACAGTATAGTACACCCGAGCAAAAATAACAAATACGCCCGAATGGCGTATGTCCTCTTCTCCGCACTATCTCTCATGGTCACTTTGCTAAATTTAGCCTTCAACCATTCCAACTTCACCGATTTCTTCTTGTTTACATCGTCCGGGTACTCACCTAGCAACTCGAACATCAAACTACTGGGCTTCGTTTTGGAATCACGGATCAAACGCTCGCAAGATACGGTACGCCCAACAACTGGCAAACCGACCAACGTACTCACATCGTCAAGTGTGATGGTCATCTCTCCAACAGGTAAGTGAAATGTGTTGGTAGCGGGCTGCCATCTCTCTATGAAGGCTCTAAGTAGATGGCCGTCCACAGTGTTGTACGATGCTTGTACAACTGACATTAATCCACATCTTTGTACTCTCTGTAATAAACGGCGCCGGCTCCCAACCTTTCAAAGTTCCTGTGTGATTTCGAATTCGAAATTCTGAGCTGCGCTCCGAGCGATCTGGCCCTCCGTTCACAATATGATAAGCAATGTGCTTATCAAATTTTGTGTACAATTCCGGTATCTCGGGACCTCGGACCGGTTCGTTGCTCGAATCACCAACTTCTACAGTCGAAGGTAGAGCCGGCACCGGATTCGTTGACGAAGAACCCTCTCCAGACTTCTTCTTGGTCGTGGTCTTTTTCTTGGTCGTGACTGCTATGCCCTTGCCTCTATCGGATAATTCCTT